TGGGCGCCCCGGCGGGCCTGGCCCTCCCCCGAGCCCGGGATCCTGACACCGACCTCCCCAGCCGGTCCCCAGCCTCCGCGAGGACCCGTGGCTGACGTCAAGGGAAGGAGGCGGTGAGGTCATGACGGAAGGAAAAGCGCCTGCCCTGGGAGATCGGGTGGAGACACCGCGGGGACCTCACGTCCCGCAGGTGGAGGAGGGGCCGGAGTCCTCGCTCGGAGCCCGGAGCCCGCAGGCCGCAGCTCAGCTTTCCTGCGGCTTCCGAGAGCGCGCCAGGGACAAGACTCCCATCCTGCGCCCTACAGAGGCACAGGGTCGCCGCCCTTATTCCTGACGCCCAGCGACTTTGGAAACCTTCCCCTTAGGTCAGAAAATCTGGCGTGCGTAATCGGATCGTCAACTGCACACACTTTCGGGTTGCTCAGATGGAGAGTAGGCACTGCCACGTCCCGCGTTTCCCCCTCTCTAGCGAGGAACCATCTCAGTTCCCGCAGGTCCAGCGACCTGTTGCAGCCTCATGGTCCCCACCCTTTCCGGACGGTTAAGTCACTGGAATGGGCGCCGGAGTTGCACCCATCTCTGCTGTGAGCTCCCAACCTCCAGCTCGCAGAGAACTGCAGGAGCCTGCCCAGGGCCTCCCTTCTTGTGTCTGTTCCCAGGGCGTCCTTGCTGCGGCCAGTAACCATAGGGATAGGTCTAGCACCCAGGGGGTGCAGTGGGAGCAGTTCCCAGCAGGGTGACCTTGCCCCCGCTTAGCGCCTGGTGTGGGGGTGGGCTGCTGAGATGGCGCCGGGAGGGCTGCAGGTTGCAGGGCACCCCTACTTCCCGCCTGATCGGGACCACCCTCTGGTGCAACAGTAGGAAAGGGACCCTAGGGGGCTGAACAGCCTGGAAAGAGAAGGGACCCAGCAGAAACCCCTAGTTTAATAGCACAGCTCCAAGGTCCTGGGGTGGGTTTTGACTTAGGGCGGAATTCGTGGTGGTTGTAAAAGTTGCACTTTTCATATGTAAGCTTTCTACATTTTCAAATCCATCTTCTAACCAGTCATGGCATAACGCGGAGTTGCCAGATTCATCTTACAGAAATATTTGTGTATCCCTTCTTTCTGTATAGTTCCAGGACTTTCTACGCTCCTGTTATTTTCACATGAATCTCAAAAAATATCATTTCCTCCTGCTGCAGAATATTTCCTGGGTAGTAACATCTCAAAAAAAAATTGTGATTCTGTGGAAGAGATTGCTCGCCTGAAATTGGTGCTCTCTGAGTCCCCACCCACCCTCAGTTGACATTTCTAACCATGCCTCCCCTGTGGGAATGGTGGCTGGCAGAGAGAGGGATGTCTAAAACCTCTCCGTGCAGCAGCCACACTGCTGACCGCAGTGCAGTCGTGTGGGCTCCTTCCTACTGCTAAGACGTTTGAAAGGGAAGGCAGCAGGAGCATGGTGGTCGGGCGCTGGACTCTTACATGACTCACCATGGTGTGAATCCTGGACCTCGTGGCTTTGAAATCATGCTAGGTACATGTGCGTGTGTGCCCAGAATCCCAGAAGGAGAATGGAGAAGGGATTGTGGTGTGGCCATGTCCTGCCACAGCGCCTTACTTGCCCACACACACACTCTCTCTCTGGCAAGCACATATGCACTCTAGGCAAAAACTGGGGGGAACAGGGGTATTTAAATGCTTTTGTGAATTCAGGGTTTGAAAAACCGTAGAAACTGGACTAAAGTTTAATTGCTTACTGACCTAATTTTGGGTTTTAGATAGTTCTGTGTTTCTCTCTTGTCTACAAGTGAGACCTTCTGGGAGAGGCTTGCATGTATTTTTGTTAGCCATGTTGATTTGACCACAGCGGCAGACCCTCTGGCTTCTTTCTCCCTCCCTAGCTTTTGTCTCTGCGGTCTCAGGGTCTGGTTCCCCTTCCCAGCCTGAAATAAAAGGTAATGGTCCAGCCCTGACTGACCGTACACAAGCCATGTGCATTGCGAATTTGTTTTGAGAAAATTCTCGAAATCTTTTCTTCCAGATAGCAGATGTGGGGTGGGGAGGCACAGCTGCGCGCACACACACACTCGTGTAGGTGTGAACAGTCCTGATTGGACAGTGCCTGCGGCCAGCTTCAGCTTTGGGGAAGTGGCAGGATTGGTCCCCGCCCTCCCTAATCCCATCCTTGTCCCATATAGAAGGTGGGTGGAGTTTACCTAAGGGTCACTGAAGCTTCTGAGCCAGAGGTCAGCATAGGGAGTCTGGCCATCATGGCATCGTGGCCAAATGGAAGCTCGAGTCCCAGTAGCACCGGACCTGGGGTCTGCTACATGCTGCCCGTGCTAACCGCTGTGCTGGGTGCTGGCTACCTTCCTTGCTGCTCTGTGAGGTAGGTACTCAATCTCCACTTTGCTGATGCAAGTACATTTAGAGACTCCAAGTACCTTGCTCAAAGTCACATAGTAAGTGAGAATCAAAACCAGGTTTGGGGCCAGCAGGTGGTACAGTGGTTACAGAGCTGGACTCCTACATGGCTGACCGTGGTTCTAGTCCCAGACCTGGTGGCTTTAAGATCATACTAGGCGCCTGCATGCACACGCACGTATATGTGTGTGCCCAAAATTGCAGGAGAAGTATGGAAGAGAACGGTGTGGCCATCACCCCGGGGAGTGATTTCTCACTTTCTTTCTGTTCCTCTCTGTTGAGTGCATGCACCCTATGGCAAACAAAACAAAACAGAATGAACAAATCAACAAAAAACAAACCTCAAAACCAGGATTGGATCCTCAGTCTCCCTGACCTCGCAGCCCTCTGCTCTGTCACAGGGTCCTGAGTGCTCTGTTCCCCAGTGACTGTCCTTAGGGAGTCTGTGCTGGCACTTCTGCTGCTCCACAGTGAGAGTAATGCTGTGTAGACGGAACTTGCAGCACTTCTCAGCACTGCCCTAGTCATCCACCTCAGTGCTGAGGTAGGCGTAGGGTGTCACCCCCATTTCTGCAGGGGAGAACTGAGGCTCGGGGTGGTGAATTTCCCCAGGGTGGCACAGTAAGGATGGAATGGTGTTCAGATTGTGGTAGGGAGGGGCCAGAATCTCATCTACCCACTGCACACCGCTCCTCCCCGGGTGGAGACATGCCACTCTCTTTCTGAAAGTGACAGCTGTCCTTTGAGAATGGTCTTTAGTTTCTACGGCTGTGAAAGAAACCTCATTATCCATTAGTTTTACTCATAGTTTTTGATAGAAAGTGGTTAGTGGTTTGGAGACAGTGTTTTCTTTCTTTAAAAAAAAGAATTATTGGGAACAGCAGATGGTATAATGGTTACGTCGCCAGATTCTCACATAGTTGACCGCGGTTCAAGTCCTGGACCCAGCAGCTCAAACTCATGCCTGGCATGTGTGCACGCGTGCCCAAGATCCTGAGAGGAGGATGGAGGAGAAGGGATTGTGGCATGGCCATCCTCCCTCCGGAGTGATTTCTCACTTTCTGTCTCTTTGTCTGTCTCTTTCTTTCTGGTGAGCACATGCGCCCTATAGCAAAAACTTCTCAAAAACTTATTTACATAAGTTTTTTTATTATTATTCATTTAATTTGACCAGAGAGATACAGAGAGACAAAGTGAGAAAGTTAGCTGCCAGGTCTGGGACTCCAACCACAGCTGGCCATGTGGGAAGTCCAGCGCCTTAACCACCACACCACCTGCCGGCCCCAGGGGGACAGTATTTTCCCTGGCATGAATATTGTCACAGCACACTTGCACTTTGTCCTGAAGTCCTAACTCACAACGCAGCCATCTTTCAGACTATACATCCCAGCTCTACCTTGATCCTGGGCATGGAGTGTGGGTGGGAAGTGCGGTTTAGGCACCTGGAGACCCCGAGGGTAGAGACTTTCTCTCCTCCACCCATCTGTGCTTCCAGGGCCAGGATCGCTTGTGCTTACCCAGAGGCTAGGGCCTGAGGAAGTGGACCTTGTTCTCCTGGTGGGGAGGGAGCAGTGAAGTCTAACCTCACTAAGCGCACCCCCCACCATTTTCTGCATAGAAAAGGCAGCTGAGGGACCAGCAGTTGGCATAATGGCTATGTCGCAGGACTCCCACATAGTTGACCACGGTTTGAGTCCCGGACCTGGTGGCTTAAACTCACGCAGGGCACATATGCATGTATGCCCAAGATCCCGAGAGGAGAATGGAGGAGAAGGGATTGCGGCATGGCCATCCCCCCTGAGGGGTGATTTCCTGCTTTCTGTCTCTCTGTCTCTCTCTGTCTGTCTGGCGAGCGCACGCGCCCTATAGCAAAAACCTCTCCAAAAAAAGAAAAAAAAAAAAGAAAAGGCAGCTGAGTGGGCCTTCGCCCTTCTGCCTGAAACCTCTTCCCCAGGCCCTCTTTGGCTTCTTTGG